GAGAGCTCGATAACCCCTACGTGTATGGACCGACACCTCCCTACCCACCTTACCGACGGTCGGTGACACCCTTCCCAGTAGGGGGCCGATCCCCTCTCGGCCCCGCGGGAGGACGAATCCGGGGTCGACGTTGCGAAGACGGCGGCCGCTGCGCGAATGACCGGCGAGGGGAATTTCGGCGGTATATAAGGGAGGGGAGGGACCGCGCGCAGCGGCCACGGAGAGGGGGGGTGGGGAAGGTCGGGAACGCGTAGGCGTTCCAGGAATTTAGTTTACCTCGAAAACTTTATGCGCCGTTTTACCGGTATTTTCGGATATATAGAATTAGAGGTGTTATTTGTGGAGAGGAGATCGATGGTAGATAAATTTTACGTGAATTTATTATGTACTTTGTAAATCTAATGTAACGAGGAAAAATGAAACTAAAGATATACCGAACGTGGTGTACCTGGGGAGGGAAAGTGGAGACGCTCGAGGAATTTAAACTGCCTTGGAAACGGTGTAACTATATTTGCAGTTCCAAAGGCTATTTTTAGAAGCACTGAATTGGCAGGTTTATTTACAGAGGCGTGGGCAGGGCTGAGGTGGAAGTAAGAGAATGGAGTACATGTGGACATTTTCATTTGGTGTCGTAGATAAGATGATATAGCTCTTCCTTAACTTTCTACTCGTACGCGGAGGAGAAAAATTCTTTCGCTCAAATAAACTCAAATAAATCGTCACACTTCCTAAGAAACGTTGCATACGAATTATTAGAGTTTATTTATGTGAAATAATTATTCTTTGAATTTATAAAATATATCTCTGGTGCCATTTTGAGAAAGGTTTTATAAATATTTCGACGTTTTGAAATATATATACAGAATGACTCTTTCATAACACCTTAAGGCGGCGTTCCCATAAAAGGCGCGCTTTCGCGAACGCGCTGTAGGGTGAACGCGACCTTATGATGGTGGGCTTCGGCGCGAGAGGGGAAGCTTGAGGCAGGTCGCGGCGCGATAGGGGCAAGATGGCCGCCCGGTTGCCATGGCGACCGCGTGGGTGGTACCGCCCGTTCTCCAGGGGCGGAGCTTTCGCCGCGGCGGCCATTATGGTTCCCCTATCTGAGAAGTGCCGCCATCTGCCCGAGATCCCGCGGACCTCTTGCGACTTACCCTCGAGACGAGAGGGTGATAACCGCGGTGGGCTGAGAAAAGAAATCTTTCCCAGTAAATACATGAGATATAACGTCAAATATTGACATGCAGTAGCAAAAGAACGACATCCGTTCCAGACGTATTCTCCTCACAAATCGTTGACATAAAACTGTTCTAAAAAAATTGTTTCTCGCTTTTAAATTATTTTTCACGGGATTCATTTGTCTGTCCTAAGTAATACTTCCAACGAAAATATTATAAAATTATCATTTCCTTAACGGTGTATTTTTCAAAACTAAAATGGCATCGGTCCGTGGCAGATTTCCCAAAGGTGCAATTCGAGGCGACCGTGTGTACAGGAATCTCTGGTGTAGATTTCGGTACACGTGGTTTTACGTCTCTCTTTCTGTCAACCGGTGGCGGCGACAAATTTATCGCACGTGGCCAATGAGTTTCCGGGACAGCCGGAATTTTCCCCGCGAAACGACGCCGTTTGCCGTGTCGGTTATGTCAACGTCGACGTCCGGGTGTTACGATGACGAGTGCTCGCCCGATTTCGCGGCCGGCACTTGCATTTATGGCCCGTTAAGCCGTTATTGCGAAACGGAACCCGTGCTTGGTCCGTTTTCGAGGTTCCAGAGATACGTAAACCCGGAACGAGCTCGTCCCGTCGTTCGTTATTCCTCGAATCACGACCCGACGTCTTTCGAATGCGAATGCGACGCCGAAAACGATATTCACGAAAAGGATCATTTTTTTTAATCGTATATATTTTTTCTAAGTATTTTACATTATATACTCACAACATATCGTATCAATCGAATGCGAATGCGACGCCGAAAACGATATTCACGAAAAGGATCATTTTTTTTAATCGTATATATTTTTTTTAAAGTATTTTACATTATATACTGAGGAAAAATATCGTATCAATCGAAGGCGAATGCGACGCCGAAAACGATATTTAGGAATAGGATCATTTTTTTTATTCGTAAATGTTTTTTTCTAAGTATTTTACATTATATACTGACGAAAAATATCGTATCAATCGAATACGAATGCGACGCCGGAACGATTTATAGGAAAAGGATAATTTATTTATTCGTATATATTTTCAATTTATTTCAAATCTCTTGGGGGGCTTTTACAGAGAAGATAAATGAGGAATAATAGAGAGGTCCTCGAAGTCGATTATAAAAAAAATGTTTATTATGAAATAAAATAATGCAGGATTGCAGAATGAAAGGAATTTTTAATTGACCAACGAGCGGAGATATTTTTTCTCTCCTTTTTCATCACGAAGCGAGTGCGTGGGAACCAGTTCACATTACTCGGCCCCGCTCAATGAATAATGCATTATAATCAGCATTATATTATTCATAGTTATTCATGGGACGACGTAAACAGGCGTTCGCGCATGCGAGAGCGTTTAGAGGCGCGAATGTTGAATGAACGTGTCGATTTTGTCGCACAGGTGTCGTTTCTAACCACGATGTCAAGAATAATAATTATTACCGTGGCAAAAGATTGCGAGCTGCGATATGAAAGAGTCAAGCTATATATATAAGCTGACCTATATCAACGTTCGTTATTATATATATTTTTATTTCGTTATTATATACATTTTTATTTCGTTATTACATATATTTTTATTTCGTTATTACATATATTTTTATTTCGTTATTATATATATTTTTATTTCGTTATTACATATATTTTGGGTGTACCGATTCGTTTGAAATTATACCACGTGAATATGTACGCCCTAAAGTATCGCCTGAAACTCAGGAAATTTCATTTTTCGTGAAAAGTTTATTCACTTATCATGGACTTGAACCAACATGGCACGTTTCCGATGTGTTACGCTTCTTGGAGGGTTCGAATCGAAAATCAAGAGTTTCAAGACCTAGCTCGAACAATTTAGAATACCGTAGAAATGGAATATTACGGAGTCAGATCGGAAAATGTGGTAAATACTTTCACCAACGATTGCGAGAGAATCCTGGCTTGTCTTGCGGCTAACACGCGGTTTTAGAGGAAAAATTTAGTTCCAGCTAAACGTCACAGATGGCGACGTCGGTTCGTCAAAATATAAACGGTCATGAATTAATGAAATTTCGGCAGTTTTACGTCGATCTTTTTATCATTACTTTACCGAAATGACGTGTAGAACCCTTTAGTTTGTATAATTCTTAACGTAGACTGTAAAATACTTCAATATAAATATAAATGTCGGTAACGGGACGCGCCAGCTTATGTTACCACTTGAGGATTCAAAATGGCGTTACCATCAAAAAGGGCATAGATGAATTTGAATTTATCGACCTGGATTAAATTTCTCAGCGCCTTTAATATCATCTTTAGGCTCTTATTATATTTTTCTCCGTGCTTTCGTTATGTCGCACTGGGAAGAAAATAAAAAATAACAGAAAAAAAGTGGGAAGCAAAACGCCACGGGCGGCTTGCAGGGACACGGGATCGCTTGAAATTAGCATAATTGGCACCGGCAAGGGGCGAATTAAACTAATCGGATTAATTCGGGGTGCACATAAATCCCGACGAGGCTTCCGGGAATATTCCTGACGCGGACTTTTAATTCTCGTCGGATTTTAATCAACGCCCTCGATATCGGTGTTTCGGGGAAATAATGGCGGCTGTTTGTCCCGAGTTTCTGTTCGTTTCGGATTTTATTACCCACCTGATTCCTCTTTTTTTCCTTTTTTCAATTTTCCCCACGGCTAATTGCCGGTCAAGCGGATATCGAGGCTTCCACTTCTGTGGATTAATTTCGAGGGCTTTCGTACGTTTTCCCAATTTTAACAATCGCTTTTTCCGCGAACTTTTCAACCGGCCTCCAGGAAATAATAATTACTGTCTCGCGGGATTTTCAATTTCAAATTTTTATTATTCGTTGCGTCACAAGCGACCGAGATTGCATTATTTTTCAGTTTGTTTGTTGACCTCGCTCCGGATATTCCTGTTTATCGAAACAGATTTTCAATTTTTCACGTTTTTCCAATTTTAACGATCGCTTTTTCCGCGAACTTTTCAACCGGCCTCCAGGAAATAATAATTCCTGTCTCGCGGGATTTTCAATTTCAAATTTTTATTATTCGTTACGTCACAAGCGAACGAGATTGCATTATTTTTTAGTTTGTTCATTGACCTCCCGCCGGATATTCTTGTTTATCAAAACAGTTTTTCAATTTTTCACGTTTTCCCAATTTTAACGATCGTTTTTTCCGCGAACTTTTCCCCTGGCTTCCGAGAAATAATAATTCATATCTCGTGGAATTTTCAATTTCAAATTTTTATAATTCGTTACGTTACGAGCGACCGAGATTGCATTATTTTTCAGTTTTCTTGTTGACCTCGCACCGCATATTCTTGTTTATCGAAACACTTTTTCAATTTTTCCCTCGAGTCCCAGGAAGATTGATTACACGTTCGCTACTTCAATATGTCGCAACGTGATAAATAGTGATTATGAACGTTAACGGTGCGATAATTATTATTTGTCAAGCTGATCTTAAAATGCGCGCTGTTAGAAATATTCATAAAATTCGTGCACTTTTAGTACGTATCATTGTAGTGGAATTACAAACGTAAAGCTCTGAAATTTAATTAGCGTAAATTTATTACGAATTAGTAAATGAACTTACAATTTGATGACAAGTTAAAACACTGTGAAATTGCGTGGGAAAATTAATACGCTTATGTACGAAATTTATAACGCATGTTACAGATTTCTTGCAAATATGTTATAAAATTAGTATGTAATGTCTGAATGAAATTTCTAACGGAGTGTCATAAAACATCGGCCGTTGTTTATTCCTTGGTAAAATTACTCCGAGGAGGTGATTAATGTCCACGGAAGTATGCCTACTAATTCCGAAGGTTATATTCTAATCAAACGCTTACGATTTTTTATTTCCCGCAATTCAAGGTGACGTGATGTGCGCGAATGGCATTATGCAAGAACGAGAGGTGCAACAAACAAATTAGCAGAACTCGCATTGCAATAAACTTAATTGACACGTGGAAGAAAAGGAGCACCTTACTGTGTTATTTCAATCCTCGCTAAAGAATGAAAATAGAAAATGATCGACACAATCACAACAACAAACAATAATGCGATTCGGTAACAAGTGACATTCGGCCTAAAAATTTGCATTAAAATCCATGAATTCCTTCATTAAGAACCAATTGGTGTTGATATCATATGATAAACAACAATGCAATTCGGCAATAAGTGACATTAAGCCTTAAAATTGCGACAATAATTTCCAGCTGATTTCCACGTGATTTGCATTAAATGCATTACAATCCATGAATTCCTTTATTGTTCAAAATTGCAACAATAATTTCCAGCTGATTTCCACGTGATTGTATGCATTAAAATTCATGAATTCCTTCATTGAGAACCAATTGGCGTCGATTTCATATGATAAACAACAATGCAATTCGATGACAAGTGACATTCGGCCTTAAAATTGCGACAATAATTTCCAGCTGATTTCCACGTGCTTGTATGCATTAAAATCCATGAGTTCCTTCATTGAGAACCAATTGGCGTCGATTTCATATGATAAACAACAATGCAATTCGGCAACAAGTGACATTACGCCTAAAAATTGCGACAATAATTTCCAGCTGATTTCACGTCATTTTATGCATTAAAATCCACAATTTCCTTCATTGAGAATCAATTGTCTTTGATTTCATATGATAAACAACAATTCGACTCGATAACGTGTATTCCACCACCCTGTGTTGATTGGGTTATAATCTGAACACGGTGGAACGGTAAGAGACAGCCTTAATTCCGATGAGACAGGGTACTCTAGTTTTTAGACTGCGTTATTTGATCACTGAAACTCGAGACGAAGTAAATAACGCAATTACGGGGTGTGTTTGCAGGTACTCGTGGAATACGACGACGTGGAGTGGCAAAGAAGGGAGTGGTTGTCGCCCCACAGGGATGCTGTGTTTTCCCTCTTCCTGGTGGAGAAAGGGCTCTGCTGGGCCGAGAGACCGGACCCACGACACACCAGCCTTATCACCATCAACCACCACAACCACGACAACCACACGAACAACAACCACCACCACCCCCATCACCACCACCACCACAGGATGAATGGGAAACCCTTAAGAGGTGCGACCGCGGCTGCCAACACCGTCGCCTGGCCTGCCCTGGTGAGCTTGGTTTCCTCATACAGCTTATAGAAGTGGAGTATGTGTGTGTGTGTGTGTCAAGTGCCCAGAGAGGCATCTTCTGTCTCTAAGCTTTCCCGGAAACCGCATCACGGGTCTTTTGATAAATCTCCAGAAATCTAGATTCATAGTTTTTGATGCCCTCATTGAGTGTAGAGTGCCACTCTGCGCCATCTGTGATTTCAGTGGCAACTAAATTATTTCTTCGGGACATTGTCTTACCAACACCGTCGTTTGGCTTGTCCTGGTGAGCTTGGTTTCCCCATACAATTTATAGAAATGGAGTTATTGTGTGTGTGTGTCTGTGTGTGTGTGTGTCTGTGTGTGTGTGTCTGTGTGTGTGTGTCCAGAGATCTTCTATCTCCAAACTGTCCCGGAAACCGCATCACGAGTCTTTTGATAAAGCTCCATAAATCTAGATTCATAGTTTTTGATGCCCTCATTGAGTGTAGAGTGCCACTCTGCGCCATCTGTAATTTCAGTGGCAATTAAATTTTCTTTTCGGGACATTGTCTTACCAACACCGTCGTTTGGCTTGTTCTGGTGAGCTTGGTTTCCCCATACAATTTATAGAAATGGAGTTATTGTGTGTGTGTGTCTGTGTGTGTGTGTCCAGAGATCTTCTGTCTCCAAACTGTCCCGGAAACCGCATCACGAGTCTTTTGATAAAGCCCCAAAAATCTAGATTCATAGTTTTTGATGCCCGCATGGACTGCACAGTGCCACTCTGCGCCATCTGTGATTTCAGTGGCAACTAAATCTGAAACGTGAATTATTATCTACGGTGTGAAGGGTTCATTTCCATTCTTCGTGTTTGCGGTGTCGGGGGTTGCGTTTATATTTACCCAGGATTTTACATTTCCAGCAGTCGTATTGTTTGTATTGTTCCTTGTAAATGTTGGCACGAGTGATTAAAAAATTTTAATAACTCGAGGTATCGCGTTAACGAGGCATATTAAGTAAATAAACCCTATGGACTGTTACGCGCTCCCCCAACATTCTCTCTGTAATCTAACCCCCCGTTACTATATACTTTCCCCTTTCTCTCGTTTCTTTTTCTTCCGCTAATTAACTCGATTCCCGTCCCTCCCTCCTCCAACGACCTTCGAACCCGTTTCCACGGCGACTTTGATTCCCTAGGGAGCCCCTTAAGAGGATATGAAAGAGTCAGCCTATATACATCTGAGAAGTCAAATCGTTGGGGAAAGTATTACCCGAATTGGGTGTACCGATTCGCTTGAAATTTTACCACGTGAATATGGAGGCCCTAAAGTACCTCCCGAATCTCGTGAAATTTAATTTTTCATGAAAAATTTATTTACTACATGGACTTGAACCAACATGGCACGTTTCCGACGTTTCACGCTTCTTGGAGGCTTAGAATAAAAAATCAAGAGTTTCAGAACCTAGCTCGAAATGAGAAAATGTGGTAAATACTTTCACCAACGATTGCAAGAGAATCCTGACTTATCCTGCGGCTAACACGGGTTTTTAGAGGAAAAATTTAGTTCCAGCAAAACGTCACAGATGGCGACGTCGGTTCGTGAAAATATAAACAGTCCTGAATTAATGAAATTTCGGCAGTTTTACGTCGATCTTTTTATCATTACCTTACCGAAATGACATATAGAACCCTTCAGTTCGTATAATCCTCAAGATAAACTGTAAAAGACTTAAACATAAATTTAAATGTCGGCTTATGTTGCCACTTGAGTATTCAAAACGGCTTTTCCACCAAAAAGGGTACAGATGAATTTTCCTTTATCGACGTCGATTAAATTTCTTAGCGGCTTTCATATCCTCTTAAAGCTAAAAGAGAAAATCCGAGGAGGATGTGGGATTGGCGGTGGGTGGCGGTGGGTGGGTGAGGCAGTCGGCGGTGGGTGGTGGGTGGCGGCGCCCGGGTTAAGGGGGCCGCAATGTCGGATGGAGTTTGCATGCGAAGCAGCTGCAATCTCGAGCGTTGCACTTTATTCCAAGCAGCTGCGGGAGCAACTCCGGCCAAGAGTTCTAATCGTAATTAGGGAACTTTTAATTATCCCCTCGCCCTACCCCGCCGCCGCCTCCCGGGGTTTCTCTCTGTCGCGTTTCGCCGGGGAGTTTCCGCGATTCTCGGGGGCAAGGGGGAGAGATTAATCCGCCATCGAGTTTGATTATGCCAATTGGCGTGATCGCGATGGGAGTGGGGGGCTGAAGGGGGTGATGAATGGAGATACCGCGGGTGGGATAATTGTGGCACCCCCGGGGGTGGGTCGAGTAGATATGCCGATGACGGGAGGTATTACTCGGGGTTTAATCGGAGCACTGGGACGGGGTTAGAGATAGTGCCAAATGTAATTGTTGAATTGCTGCGGTGATATCACGGGGTGGGGTTGTTGCGGTCACTCTGGGAGGTGGGGTGGGCTGCTTGTGAAATTTCCCTCTATTGAAAATTGTTACTGCGGAGGGGTGGAATTATTGTGGGTGGTGGCAGGGGGTTTGTGACATTTTTTTATTGGACATTGTTGGGGGGGAAGTTAGGATTTTTGCGAGGGCTGGTAGACAGAGGATGCTTGTCACATTTTTGGGGTAGATATTGAAGAAATGCGGAGGAGCGAATTAAATAATTATTATTTATATTGAGATGGAAGGTGATATAAGTACATGCTGCATATGCAAAATTTAAGATTAATTTAAGACGTGTCAAGAATGGTATTTAAAGGTTAACACTGGTGAGAAATAGTCCAATCTTTGCGATGATTAGGTGTGTTGGATTGATAAATGAGGATGTTACATTTCATATATACATTTTTGTCATTTTTCAGACATTCTACCCTCTTGTCGCCCGTGTAGATCTCTCGGAGGACTCGATGCCCCTTGAGTTCATGCAAGACCGGCGACTTGACTTCTGCGACTATTCTGAGTTGAAGATCTTCACGGTGAGCATTTAGTGTTTGTAAAAAATACCTATGCAACTAGATATATATCCCTGAATTCATAATACCCTCTTTCCACTAACGAATTACATTTACATACAATTAGTGACGTCAAAAATCACCATTTTCACGTTCAACAACCCATTGCATAAAAAAATCCTTTCAACAGTAATTGTTCCTTTTTCTTCGCGCAACAACTCTTATCCGAAACAATTCCTTCTTCAATGCCCCAGAAACCCGATAATGTACAATTACCCCAAATACCTGTTACCACTTCCCTTGTACGATTTAAATTTTTTAATTCCCGTAAAAATCCTCAAACAATCCATTGGATCCAAAATTCCCGCTAACAAAAGTTGTTCCTCCCCCTCCTCGCCACAACTTTTGTCTCAAGCAATTCGTCATACAATGCCCCAGGAACCCGATAATGTACAATTACCCCAAACACTTGCTATCACTTCCCTTACATGGTTTCTATTTTATTCCTCGCCTCCAGATCACCAAACGAAACCATTCCCTTTGCGAAAACCCGACAAAAGGATCGTTCCGTCGGCAAGAAAAGCTAGAAGAGGTGGAAGCCAAGGGGGATGAAAAAAAAGTGAAGAATACGAGGAACGCGTCCGACGTCGGGGCGGAATGTCGAGCAGCGGGACGAAATAGTTGTCGGAAAGTTCGCGGCCGCTCGGCGCGTTAAAGCGGAGAACCAGGAGAGCCGTCTGGGCCGGCTCGAGGCTTGCGGTCGGGGAAATTGTTTCCAAGTAATTAAACTGCGGGAACTTTTGCCGTTAAAACTTGGACTATCGGTTTCCCGATAGGCGTCGACGTCGCGACTCGTTCCTCGTCGGGAAGTTTCCGAGCCTGCGGTCAGGGCCGTCCGGATGCGAGCCCCCTCCACGTGGAGGACGTTAATGGTTGCAATTTTTCACCACTTTTGCCCTGGCCGCGGTAAATCAAGTTCAAGAAGGGAAGTTTTTGCTCCTCATACCCACCGACCCGTGTATCCGGCCAGGCTGCCTCGAAATGTTTGCTCCGGCTATGAAACACCCGAGATGAAAGTTGGTTGAGAAAAAAGAAATCTGGATTTTCCTATATATTAATGTTAGTTAATGCGGGAAATTTCGCAGGTTCTTCTTGGATTTTTCCTTTTTCATTTGTTATTCACCACTATGAAATGAAAACCGGCTATGAAACACCCGAGATGAAAGTTGGTTGAGAAAAAAGAAATCTGGATTTTCCTATATATTAGTGTTAGTAAAATGCGGGAAATTTCGCAGGTTCTTCTTCAACTTTTCCTTTTTCATTTGTTATTTACCACGGGAGATTTTTATTTTCCACGAAGAGAAATAAGAGATGTTTGCTCCGGCTATGAAATCTCCAAGATGGAAGTTGGCTGGGAAAAATGAAATCTGGATTTTCCTATATATTAGTGTTAATTAATGCGGGAAATCTCGCAGGTTCTTCTTCGACTTTTCCTTTTTCATTTGTTATTCACCACGGGAGATTTTTATTCTCCACGGAGAGAAATAAGAGCCTTAAGGTAATATGAGAGTGTCATATACACCTACCAAGAAGTCAAAATATTTATTATACTTTTCTCCAAACTCGGTGCATCGAATTATCTGAAACTTCAACACGTGATTATGGAGTCTATGAGGAAGGACGCGCCGAACGTGAAATTTCATTTAAACACCCGAATGAAATCTTATTTACAACCACCGAAAAGGGGATAGATGAATTTTAATTAATCGAATGTTCATCAAGAATGCGATTGTCAGGAAAAAATTCGCTGCGAATGAATTTCCCTGCTAGCTTATAGAACACCAACCAACACATGGGAATAGGAAACGATGAATAAAATCATGGAATAGAATGAAGCCGATATCACCGATCGAATTTCCTCGATGACCTCATAAATTCAAAATGTCGGATGAAATTTCAGGGGAATCATGAATTCCGGGTATTCTAATCCGAGGACCGATTTACCGTCGCGGATATAGCTCTCCTCATCTCCTGAAAACGAGGAACGACGAGCCCGGCCATTAAGCATCGTCCCGAGGACGATTACGGCGTACATAAATCATTTCCTTGGTATAATACGTAGAGGTAAATCCACGAGGAGTGGAAGTCGCCGGGATTCGGTGACCCTGAACTATAAATGCAGGCGGCCATCTTGTTCGCGTGCAGGACGCGGCCACACATGGAAGAAGCTTTCGCAAAGGAGAAGATCGGTAAAAGGGAAGGAAGTGAAAGAAGTGCGTATATATGCAGAAATACGTGGACATACGTATTACGGGCACGTATGTGCGAGAGAAGCCACATGCCGGATAGGGAATTTCGTTTTATTTCACCGGCAGCTGCCCCTAAGGACGCCGCGACGTCCACCTTGGACGTTCGCCAAAATGGCCGCCTTAGAGGGCGCCAACATATTTCCGACTTCCCCCGAGGTGCCTGAACTGAAAACCAATCTGAAGAACAGCTAGTTTTGCTTGAAGGCTCTTAACACATTCGCGACCCGGACATTTTTTCCGTTTCAAATACTGAGTACCGGCGAAAATAATGAAATTCTTTCGCCTTGTTTTATACATCTCTCTAGGTCAATGAGACTTTTTTTTATTTCAACGTTTCGGTGATAGCGTTGCTTTGATACCAGCAACACTATAAAGATATAGATGAATTTTATTTAATTTTATTTAATTTTTTTTTTTTCAACGTTTCGGTGATAGCGTTGCTCTGATATCACCAACGAGGGAATTCCCTTCGCCGTGTGAATTTCAATGGAGAAACGCGCACATGTATCGCCGATTTACAGAGAGCTCCGATGCGTGGAGAATAAATACGCGTTAACAACTTTCTCGTTTCCACGAGCTTTCGATTAAACGATTACCGGTATCCTTCGTCCTATTTTACGCGCGGCGAATTTCATTACAGGGACACGCTACGAGATTAAATCCGAGTATTGACACCCTCGATTCCTCGTTTTGTTGACCATTTATCGTTCCGACTATATGTCGCGCGATTTATCCCGGAAGAAGAAAAAAGAAAGATTTTTTCAATATTCCCTCCGCGTCACATGGGGCGAAAATAAAAATCCTTCGATATTCCTATCGTGAAAGTTGTGCGTTGAAATTATTCCGACTCGATAATAAATAATGTCAAAGATGTTGAAAAATATACGAGAGATCCTTTTGCACATTTCTAATGACGATTAAGTACTCTATACACTGAGAAGAAAATTCGTTGAAAAGAAGTATTTCTTTGAACAGTACCAAAGAAATATTTTTTTAATTCAAAGAACGGTTATTTGGCAGAAGTAAACTTAAATAAATGGTTCATCATTCTGAAGAAATGTTCCGTTAAATTTATTCGAGTTTATTCCAGGTAAATAATTATCCTTTGAATTGGAAAATTATTCCTTTGGTTCAATGAAATGACTTTTTTAGCGTACTTGAAGGAAATTTCTCGGTACGATAAGGGCGTTCTGGGAGAGAGTTAAAAAATATAATTGTGGTTATTTCGTAAGGCAGTGCGCTGTTTCGGGGTGAAAATGCTTTTATACGCGGGGGGAATAATTTGCAGGAAAAAAAGTACAGAGAGCGTAATTCGTTCATGAAGGTTCGAATTAGAGGCGGAGCATTTTTCTTCCATTAACTCGACACATATTTAACATAAAAATCAGTTCTCGTGAAAAGTTGCAGGTTGCAGGGTCGACTAATTCTCATTTCCCGGGGAAAGTAAAATGGAGAGCATTTCTCTCGATTTACGGAGAGGGAGTTTCTCGCCTCGGACTTTTCCGAGGAATTGGCGAGGGCGGAAAATCCCAAAAAGCAGTCTGCTTCAAGAATACATTTTTAATATTTTTTTTTTCCTTCTATGTAAGATCTTTGAAAAAGGTCCCGCGGGTCCAGAAGTACAGGAAATCATTTTTAGTCCCGATTACTAGGAAGAACAATACATAGAATACCTAAAAAGCAACAATAGAAGACAATCATGTCGACTAAATCATTAACAATACGCATACATCCACAATAATCATAAAATATACCACAGTATATAAACTTGCATGTACAGAATATTTCCACGCGTAGTACTTTAACAATTTTTAAGAAATTTAATGATAACACCCCAAAATAGACTTTAAGCACTTTAAACATTTAATTGTAATTGTGGAACGATGATGAAAAATTTCACCCCTGACTGGGCCCTTATTAATTATGCCATTTTCAAAGTACTTAGTAATTCCTGACCATCCTCAACATCGCCAAGATGGCCGCTCGTTAAAAATGGCCTCTGTCCGCGCAGCCCGTTATAATTTTCCGCCCCGACCATTAATATCACGCGTGATTGCATAATGCGCTGGGAATAACGCGAGAAATGCAAATAACGCCGACATGCGACGTGAGTAGGGAGAAAAAAGGCAAAAGGAAATATCGCGAAAAACCGGACCGAGCCGTAAATTCGCCCCCGCGAATCGTACGAGTGGTTGGGTGGCCGTCTCGAGGCGAACGGTAATGCTAATGGTAATGGTAACGGCGTAATCAGCCTCCATTACGTGTACGTCCAGGTCGACGATAACGCCACGTGATTTATCGGGACCGGTCCTGCGAACGCGAGAAACAGAAAATCGAGAAAATCGATGGATAGAAGGGTGAGACTCGGTCGACCAGAGGTTTGCCCTAGGTCATGGTGTTCCGTTTAGGTTAGGTCAGGTCAGGTTTAAGTGAGATATCTTGCACGGGAAAAAAAATTTGTCCAAGGACCTTCCTTATAGCCTCCATATTCGCAAGTTAGAAAGGATTCTGTACATGAGAATTGTTAACACATTCGCGAAAAATTCGCAAATTTTTTCCGTTTCAAGTACTGAGTACCGGGAAAAATAATGAAATTATGAAACTGGTTGCCGCGAGCTTGTATCGTGTATCGTCATGGACGTGATTCACGTCAGCGGCAATCTGGAGTAGAATATAAAATGACGTGAATTCACGTCAGCGGTCGCGAATGTGTTAAGGGGATGTGATAGTGGCATCCGAAAGCTCAATCGTTCATAAAACTTTTTTACGAACTGGGTGTCTTAAATCGTTTCATACTTTAAAACGTGAATATGGAGACTCTAAGGTAGGTCCTGAAACTCGGGAAATTTCATTTTTCATAAACTATTTTTAAAATACCTATAAAGAAATTAAAAAAGAATTGAAATTTCATGAGTTCCAGGACCTTCCTTATAGTCTCCCTATTCACGTTGTAAAGTTTCAAACTATTCGGTAAATCGAGTTGGGAGAAAAGTTTTATAAACAAAACCTCTTCGATGCCACTTTCATATCATCTTAAGAACGATGATCCCTAAAATTCCACTTTCACATTCCCTTAACGAATGAAGGAAGAAAATATGATAGATGTGCTTAAAAGTTTTCTCCTGCAAACTTGAACCGCGTTATTCTTCTTTCTTTTTGCAGCAGGACTGGGAATTAACGAAAGGATCGGTATCCTGGGCGAATGCTGTTCGACGCTGGTCTGAGATGCAGGATGGCCAGAGGATCCTTTTGACAACTCCAAGTGTCCTTGTCGGATTTCGTGTCGAAGTTTATCGGGCCGAAGGCACCACCCAGTGGTACACCGCAGTAATTGTCGGGTACAATGAGTCCACGAAGGTAAGTGAGAAATATAAATTAACAAGATAACATAAACATGATTCTACATACAGCAAGAAAATCCCCCATACAACCCGACTGGAAAAATCGCCATCCATTCTCAAATCTTTATCTTATTCCACGTAATCCTTAATAGAAAAATCATGGTTAAAAAAAAAGCCTATAGTACTGTTTAATTTTATCAGATAAAAAATTTGCAAACGGGGCGAAGTGTTTTATTTAAAAGTTGGGGAATTAAGTTTATCATGTGTGATGGGCTGATTGCAGGAGAGAGCATGAGGTTTAAGATAAGTTTATTAAGTAAGTGGGTTAAAAGTAAATTAGTACTGTATGGGGCTGTTAATGTTACGGGTAATTCCCTGGATTTTATCGATGGTTCTATATTGTTTTATCAGAAATCGATGCCACTCGAGCCCGACTCAATCTCGTTGTCGGTATTGACACCACTCGATCGTAAATGGAGTATGTACTCGGTATCGGTAACCAAGGTTATCTAGATTCGATTCCAATAAATAAATACCGCATCCATGGGATAGATTAAGGTCTGCGAGAGCTTGATTTCATCTAATCTTTGCTAGGAAATTTCAAATTAAGGCGGTGTGATAGTGGCGTCAAATTGGTATCGTTTATGAAACTTTTCTCCGTACTGGGTGTTTCGAATTCTCTCAGACTTGACAATGTGAATATGGAGGCTATAAGGAAGGTTCTAAAACCCATGAAATTTCAATTGTAAGATAATTTGTTTATAACTATTTTCAACAATCTTAATAAGAAATGAAATTTTGGGAGTTTCGGGACCTGCCTTAGGGTCTCCTTATTCATGTGGTAAAATTTGAATGAAATCGGTCCACCCAATTCGGAAAAAAGTTTCATGAACGATTGATCTGTAAGATGCCATTTCCACATCCCCTTAAGGTAATATGAAAAAGTTAACATTTTAAAATTTATCGATATGAACTTTAGTCAACCTTTCCATTTAATTTCCCAATTAAATTTAAGGTGGAATTCAAGTAAAACATAATGTTCATTGAATTTCCCGCTCTTCTAGACACTAGGAAATATTAATGAAAATAAAGAGAAATAAGTGACAATTTTGATCAGATGTCTAAATTAATAAAATTAGATCATCCGTAAAATATCTGCCGGAGATCCGTTTTCGTCGGAAGTGGTTTAAGGGAAAATCGAAAAAAAGGGGAAAAAAGGAAAAAGAGAAGAACGAGAGGACCGAGAATTTCTTCGACTTTGAGAAATGCACGGTGACCGAATTGCTCGACTGGCCGACTTGGGCGAACTTTCGTCGCCCTTTCTCCTCGGAGGAGAAATGTCGCCAACCTTGGACGTTTTCCTCGTTTTCCCCGTTTTTCCCGATTTTCGGACTTCCGGGCCGCGAAGGAACGCCGGAAGAGAGGCGGGCTCGGACAAAAGTAATTCCAAAGAAGCTCGGCGATAATTCACCGGGGAAATTGGACGAGAGTAACGGAAAAGCCATTCTCGATGGCGAGGTTTTCCATCGGAAAATGGAAGAAAGAAAGAAAAAGTTATATTTTAACAACATTATCCTAAACGTCAGTTGTCAATTTGCGGGACTTTGCATTTTTAGATTTCACGATTTTCCGGCGAACAAAGCATTTCCTATACGTAAAGGATGTTAATTAAATTTAATTTTCCATTTTTTATGTTTACAGGATTTGACAGTCACCGATGATACCGTTCTCGAAGATCATAACGAGGATCCAAGTCTGGTGCAAATGCGCTTAATTGGCGATGGAGGTGAGTTTGAATTTAATTAAATGAAGGAAATTCCAGCAGTGATTAAAAAATCGATATAAATTGATGATTTAAAATCCGGTTGTTAAAGTGTTACCCTGAAAGTATAAAGTATGGTATAAAGTACACCATAAAAATATAAACTTAGTGCCCTTTAAACTCCCAGGGGATTTTTCGCAATTCATTTTTTATCGAACTTCTTATTATCATCAATCACCATCGTTTACGAAAGACTATTTAACTGTAACAAAAATATGTAAAAAGTGGATATTAGACCGCCATTCATTATTTAATATCGCTTTTATTATAATCAAATGCTGCATTAGATTTTTAAGACAGAGCTTTAATCTACGACGTAATTGACTTCGGTGACGAAACTATGATGAATAATGATTAATATTAAAACTCTGGAAAAAAAAAAGGATATGAACTTTCTCATCCTCGATTACACTAAATCAAGGATAATTCGAGCTGTAATCACAGACTTTGTGTAGACTTTCACCAGGACTTTTGCAAGCTGTCTCCTATCAGCGACTCGGCATGCAATAATATTAAAAAAAAAAGCCTGATGCACGATAATCGTTAAACGGTAATTGAAGCTTAAATTAAATTACCTTTTACATCTTCACTTGGGTCCGACATTTGCTTTTACGAAGCAATTAAGCGACCGGTTTGCGAGATGAAATCGTTTCCAGGGGAGATTGTAAAATTCCACTTTGAACGTTTTTATTCATTACGTTTATTTAGAGAGTGCTCAATTACAATTTCTACGGAATGTAGATACAGAAATTGAAAAAATCCCACTCCGAGATTTTAATCCGCCATGTATGTAAAAAATTTTCAATATCAATTTCGATGAAATAAAACTGGTTATTAAATGGTTCAAAAATGAAATTTTACGAGTTTCATGACCTACCTTAAGGCCTCCATATTCTCGTGGAAAAATTTCAAACGAATGGGCACACCTATATACATATACATATTTCTCTTCCTTATCACTCTTTTATACCACCTTAATAGGTTAATAAAAAATTACTAGTATTTGAAATATTTTTTCTTATCAGTGGTGGAGAGCATCATGAGAGGCGAGGTCGTTGGCATGACTCAACGGAGGTCAAGATCATCGACGGGATTGACGCATGCTCTTGTCGTGGTGAGTACAATGTTCTGATTGGTTACTGATTAATCGACGAGAATGGCCGCACTCGATTGATAAAGATCAATCAGGGGAATGGACGACTCTGATTGGCGCGATAAATTTCTTCCTCTTGCACGATTTTCGATTATTTCGAGTCGTGGGATGATAAGCTCCTCGAGATACCACCCAGAGTGATGTCAATGATCTAATTGATAGGTTTATCACGAGATAACCTGTTATCTTAGTGAAGTCGAGGGGTTCATTTCAGAATTCTGCAAGCCTGATAAAAATGCGTCAAATGGGCATTACATATCTGCAGAGATAAAAATAATATTATTCCGTTGTATTAATAAACGTTGGATAATTTCATACATTGTAGGAAACTGGAATAACATTTAGAATCACGAGATAACCTGATATCTACTATAAGTCGAGGTCAAGGGGTTAATAAAAAAATTCTCGGATTCTCTTGAAAATTCAAGAAATGGGAATTTTTACAGCAAACATAAAAATAGTTGAAAAGGATGGATACATTCTAGAGTACGGAAATATTTTTAGATTTTCAGGTCATACTTTGAATTTTTATTCACTTAATCGAAAGTGCGTGAAAAAATTTAATACAATAATTTCTTTTCTTTTTTTTTTAATTCCGGACTTCTACAGACATTTTATGAAGCTTAATAAATCATTGTTCGTTCCGTTTGTTGAACAGTTTGAAATTATTTCAGCAAGATAATGCCGGGGAATTTTCAGGTCATATTTTGAATATAACACTTAATCGAAAGTGCATAAAAAAAATTCAAGACAATAATTTCTTTTTTTTTTAATTCCGGACTTCTACAGACATTTTATGAAGCTTAACAAATCATGGTTCGTTCCGTTTGTTGAACAGTTTGAAATTATTTCAGCAAGATAATGCCGGGGAATATTGAAGGGCAGAAAGAGGGAGTGTAGAGATAGGATAACAATCATGACAAATTGCCGAATGGGTTTGCGTAGCTGCACGTGTCGAGATTTATTGCTAAATTAGCAATAATTCAGGTTTAATCCGGCGCCGACGAAGCAGTTTGTTAGAGCAGCAATGGAACCGTTGTTAAAATATTCATTGCCCTGTTAAATTTATCCGCTGTGGAAGTGCTGCTCCGATTCCATCGTTCCCTTTCAAACAAATACTAAACAAGAAATTAACGATGTCAGCTATTTCAATAAACCACCCTCTACGACGTTGCCCTTTTGTCGATAATAAATAATAAAGTCAGGAGTCCAAACTGTGCCAAAAGGTTATTACAATACAATATCTGAATACTTGGATTTTTATTTAATAAAAGCTTCCCTTTTCAAATCTTCATCCCTCACAGTGATAATAAACAAAAATGTGCTCGAAACGCGTACAAGGAATAACAGTGTTAATTAAACTCCTTTTGTTCAAATTTGATATAATTGAAACTGACTTAATAATTTCCTAGTGTAAAGAATGCAGAAATTTTTGTCTCTCCTTTTATAATTATTTATATCCAGCTTGATAGGCGTACTCATTTTTCTTTCTTATTTACCGCGTAGTGAAGTTTTTTTCGTTTAATTTTTCACACCCAGGGAAATATGCGGGATTCCGTTTTGGATTTTGCATTGCAATATTTTGCCACTTGTCAGACCGATTCAGCCGGCAAAGATCTGAAATGTGCATCAGACTTAAACCTTGCATCTCTGTTCAGATACACGTCGCCTAAGCCATGTACAAACTCCGGTATGTACTCGTGTCCTTGCTTCGAGTAAAGTACATGCCTATGTACAGTCTAATAGCGTATTCCGAAATTTCTAAAGCCCCTGCACGCGGTTCTCCGATTTCTGCATTCATGTGCATTCACAATGTTGTTTAATTCATGGGAACATTTCGTTGAATCGTTTAGCTCGAATGGATCTGCTTATATATATAGAACCCTTTGATAACACCTTAACATTCCAAGAAATTAAATCATTCTAATTTTTCAACGTTTGTTGATAAATATATTGACGTTCTATATATATAGAATCCTTTGATAACACCTCAACATTTCAAGAAATTAAAACATTCATTGATAACACCTCAACATTTCAAGAAATTAAAACATCCGAATTTTTCAACGTTTCTTGATAAATATTTTGACGTTGTATATATATAGAATCCTTTGATAACACCTCAACATTTGAAGAAATTAAAACATCCGAATTTTTCAACGTTTGTTGATAAATATTTTGACGTTGTATATATATAGAACCCTTTGATAACACATTAACATTCCAAGAAATTAAATCATTCGAATTTTTCAACGTTTGTTGATAAATATTTCGACGTTCTATATATATAGAACCCTTTGATAACACATTAACATTTGAAGAAATTAAATCATTCGAATTTTTCAACGTTTGTTGATAAATATTTTCGACGTTCTATATATATAGAACCCTTTGATAACACATTAACATTTGAAGAAATTAAATCATTCGAATTTTTCAACGTTTGTTGATAAATATTTTGACGTTCTATATATATAGAACCCTTTGATAACACATTAACATTTCAAGAAATTAAAACATTCGTACTTTTCAGTGTTTGTTCATAAAAATATTGACGTTCTATATATATATGTATAACCCTTTCATCTCAGCTCAACATTCCAAGAAACTAAAACCTTCGAATTTTTCAACGTTTGTTCATAAAAATATTGAAGTTCTATATATGTAACCCTTTCATCTCACCTCACATTCCAAGAAACTAAAAGATTCGAATTTTCGAAATTTCGGGGAGGATTTTCGCCGAACAGTCAAGAACGGCCTCGTGTACCGTTCAATCAAAATGTCTGGGGGATCGATCGATCGGATATCCATGGTTAAATAAGGCTCCTCGAGCCGACATTTCAATTAATCCCCATTCGTAGCCCGACACCTTTGAAGCTCGCCGGTGAAATTTCCTGAAGTGGCCTCCCGGAGTATTTCGTCCGAAATAGGCCCTCCATCGAGGCGGCGGTGAAAAGCTCAAAGACGGGCATTCCGTGGCTGAATGAAAGGGTTGAAGCGCGGCCGGCCGGGTCGGTCCTAGGGGAAGGTTCCCTTTAACCCGGGAATCAATAGAGTCGTGTTCAGAGGCCACTCCGAGCCCTGCCTTCGAGCCCGGAACAAGCCCCGTTGCTATCCGACCGACCAACTTCCGGCCGTTCGCTTCCTTCCGCTTTGGCCCGACTTTTTGCGCCCCTTCGCGTCATTTTCGCCAGACAAATTAGCCCGACCCTGGACCGCTTCCATCCACCGCATCCGTCTTCCGCTTTGTCCCCGTTGTCCTCCGTTAATGTCGTTAGTTGGCGCTCTTTGTCTCCCCGAGTGCGGCCAAAGTAATTATCCCTTGGATAAATAGTGAAAATAATTCCGGGCGGGGGTTAACGAAAGGGTGGATTCATTAATTTCACCCCGTACAGGGTGACGATGAAATTCCCACGGTACCTGTCAAATTCCCACGCCTTTTCATATTCCTATACTACGCTGAAATAATAATATTTCTCTTTCAATTAAATTCTTTCTATGAAGGGAGTTAAGGTGATATGAAATGGTTATTCTATATGGGGTTAATGAAAGGGTGGATTCATTAATTTCACCCCGTACAGGGTGACGATGAAATTCCCACGGTACCTGTCAAATTCCCACGCCTTTTCATATTCTTATATTACGCTGAGAATAATATTTCTCTTTCAAAGAAATTCTTTCTATGAAGGGATTTTATATTAACATATACTGTATAAGTATAAGTAAAGTATACTGTATAAAAATGCAGGAAATCCATTAACGATCCATCCATCTGGGGGGGTGGAGCCCACCCCAAGATTCAATCGTCAAGAATCGAAGAACCAGGACAGAAGATTCAGGACGAAATGCGAACTCATCCTTTCAACCCTTTAACAACTGGAGACCCTTCTCCCGAAATCGAGCAACCCCATTGCGACCCTCCACCCTCGATAAATCGAATCCGCGCCGTATCATCGCCCTGGACCATCGAATTTCCGGGGTGTCCATCAGCCGATTCGCGGTCTGGAAGGAATCGTCCTGCAAGCTGCAATTCTTCGGAAAACCGCAGTCAGCAGGGCGGAAGGGTGGCGAGGGGGTTGCACTGTACCCCTCTAAGGAATTACTTTCTTCCGTGACCTTAGTCGAGGGTGGCGCCGCCACTAGATCGACTACCGACCCTGCCACCCCCTGAAATCCCCATTTCTCGAGATAAATTCACCCCCGGCGAGCACGCGACACACGACCCGGATCTAGACAATTCCACCCCCTCTTCGACCCGATGGCGACCCGAATGCAGGGCTCGCAATTAGCCGAAGGTCGTGCCAATTAATTTCCATACAGTACCCCTGGTGTACGTTGGCACTCTAAGAGTGGCTTTTAAGCTACGAAAGGGTTCATATATATTAGTTTTATAAATATTTTCACATTTTTATATATAGAATGACCCATTCATATTACCTTAGCGTTTCGATATATATATATAAAATTATATATGTGTACGTTGGCACTCTGACAGTGGTTTTTAAGGTGCTACGAAAGGGTCCATATATATTAGTTTGATAATTATTTTCACATTTTTATATATAGAATGACTCTTTCATATCACCTTAACGTTTTGATATGTATATATAATTATATATATACATGACCGTCCTGCCGGATGTTCGCCACTCGGCGCCACGCTTTAATGGCATTAAGGTGAAGTGAAACCCCCCTCAAATCAGTCGATTCTAATACAACACTTTTTTTTAAGGGTATTGAACCAAACTGTCCGAAACTTTGACACGTGACTCGCGAGCACCTAAGAATTGTCCTGACACAATCGAAATTTGGATTTTCCAAAGGAACTTTTTATTACAAAAATTCTCTAACTTATGCCAGGCCAAAACCAAAAGAGCGTAGAGCTCTCATATTTCGATCGATATACAATTATCGAAGGCTCCGATATGAGAAACGAAAGGGTCAGGAGAATTTTCCGACAA